CCAGCGCCTGGAGGCGCTGTCCCCGGCCACACTCCCCGACAACTTCTCGTGAGCCTCGCCCGAGCTTCTCCAGCTCTGCCCATCCCCAGAGGGAGGGAGGACTCAGGGGTCCTGCCCTCTTGGCGTGCTTTGCTGCACAGCGGTTAGAGTGTCCGACACCGAGATCCGTTCGCTGTGATCGGAGAACATGGTCTGGGCCGAATAAATCACGTGTTTCCACGGCTAAACACCTCGGGTTTGAGTCCCGGGGCAAGAGGGGGCTGGAGTCTGAGACTGCTGGAACTGAGGGAGAGGAGGGCCGGGGTGTGGTCCTTTGGGGTCTAGGGAGGAAGGGGTAAGAGGCTGAGTCTGAGGGGGGAGGGAACCGAGGATCTGGGACTCCTGGCCTGAGGGGCTGGAGCCTGGACTCTGGGGTCTGAGGGAGGAGGGGCTGGGGCCTGGGCTCCTGTGACCCCTCACAGCGAGACAACTGAGTCTGTACACCAAAGCATTTTATTGGGAGTGGGGCAGGGCAGGATTTACAGTCACAGAGACAGAGACACAAAGACACAACCCTGCCCCGGGAAAAAAACACCGCTCTCCCCCAGCCCCGTTCCCTTTTTTGGGATTCTGTGACTTCTCCTATATATATCCCCCAAATTCTAAGCTGAAAGAGGGGTGTCTGAGAGGGGAAGGATCCCAGATTTTGAGTCATTTAGCCCCTGAGGGACACAACAAATGGCCACTGAGAAACTGAGGGTAGTTTGAAACTACCCAGGAGAATAAAGTGCAAGGAATTGGGGGGAAGGGCGCATCTTGAAACCACCATGGGGAAGTTCAATGGTGGTGGCTTCAAATCATTGAGTTAATGGACTTGAGCATCCACTATTTAAACCTGAAAACCATGTCAGAAAAAGTGCATGGGGGTGGAGAGAGGCATCTTGTTAAAACTGCCATTTTGGTTATTTCCCTAGACGTTCTGCTAAGCTAGGGAGGCCTTGGGGAATTGTTCAGCAGAATTTGCCGGAAGGGAAGAGGTTAGTTGGGAAGGGGGGGACTTGAAACCGCCATTTTCCCTCCGAAACGCTGGTGAGAATCAATCCCTGGAATGGCGGGGATGAGTGGCTGGTTAAACCAACCTGGGAAATGCAGACTAGATGGGGAGGATTTGAAACCATGAACTTTTCTGAAAGGGGAGAGGGGCTGAGGAATCTCAGGGGTTAGCCTGAGAGCCCCTGGGGATAAAGGAAAGGAGGGGGGGGGTGCCTCAAAACCACAAGAGAGAGTAAGAGGTCGAACGGTCCATTCAAACAAAGCCCTGAAAGGAGAGATTTGAAACCACTGAGGCAGAACGAGTGAAGAAGGGAACCTGTAAGGGAATCTGTGGGTATCCTTGAAACTGCCAGTCTGCAGCTCCACTACCCCTGAAAGGCAATTGGGAAGGAAAGAGGATTTGACAGCAACTGGGAACGAGGGAGAGTACTCGCTGGGCCTGAGGTAGGACAGAGAGGAGCCGGAGCTCCTTGACACTGTCGCTCAGGCCAGAGACGTGTGGAGCGGAGGTCCTGGAAACTGCCATTCAGTGGGAGGCACACGGTCAGTAGTCCCGGACAGGGGGTGGGGGTCTCGGGGGCTGAACTGTGCTGTGCGTGGCCCCATAGGAGGGAGGAGGCGCAGGGGGTGCCCCGGGGGGCTCAGCCTCATCCTCCATGTCGCTTTCATCACTGCCCGCCAGCTGGTCATGGCCGACAAAGCCACACTTCTCTTCGCTCATTTCCTCAGGCTCTGCCCACGGCTGCTTCTCTCCGGAAGCGAAGACCCCGTAGAAGATGACGCCTCCGTAGTGCACCAGGGACGCAATTAGGAACACGTACTGCCACTCCTCCCGAGTCTGTTGGGGGGACAACAGGGATAACCTCAAAGCGGAGAAACCGGATGGGGACAGGATAGGGAGTGGAGGCCCAGAGGAGGGAGGGAGGGGAGGACAGGGGGGCAGAGACCCCAGAGAGGGCAGGGATGGTGCCCCAGGGAGGGGGACACCACGTGGTCAGGAAGGCCTCAAGCACACTTTTTTGGTTTGTGTTTTCGAGTCAGGGTCTCACTCTATCACCCAGTTCGAGTGTGGTGGCTACCGCAGCCTCAGCCTCCTTGGCTCGGGTGATCCTTCTGCCTCAGCTGGGACTGCAGGTGTGTGCCACCACGCCCAGCTAATTTTGTGCTGTTTTTGTAGGGACGAGGTCTCACTGTGTTGCCCAGGCTGGTCTCGAACTCCTGGGCTTAAGTGATCCTCTCGTCTCGGCCTCCCAAATTGTTGGGATTACAGGCGTGAGCCACCACGGCCGGCCCCAAGCACACGTTTGGAAGGCGAGTGGGTCGGGGCGGGTGCGCCAACCTTGTGCTTAGTCATGGCGCCCACGATGATGGGACACACCATGCCCGACAACGTGCCCACGCCGTTGGAGATGCCCATGAGGATGCTGGCGTAGCGGGGAGCGATGTCCAGGTGGTTCACGTTGAACCCTGCAGAGAGGCCAGAGGGCGTCACGCCCGAATCTCACTCGAGTGACTCTCCACGGGACGTTCCCGACCCCACCGCCGTCCCCGCCCCCTCACTTCAGTCCACCTCTTCTAAGCCAGGAAGTTCCCTGCAGAGCTGACCAGAGTCCCCCCAGCTGGGGATCCGCGGTTCTCACCAGAGATGGCGAAGCCGCTGAAGCCCACGGCTAGGACCAGGAAGGAGATGGCCACGCCCTTGGAGTGCGAGTAGCCGACCACCAGCAGCAGCGTGGCTTCCATGCCAAAGCCTAGGAGGGCCGGTTCCCCGAGTGTCGGCGGACGCCGCCCGCCCCG